TCAGTAAAGTCAACTCTGGTAAGAAGAATATAATTATGTCTTTATTACTAATAAATTTCAGTAAAGACAACTCTGTTAAGAAGAATAAATTATTCTTTATTACTAATAAATATTCAGTAAAGTCAACTCTGGTTAAGGAAGAATATAATTATGTCTTTATTACTAATAAATATTCAGTAAAGTCAACTCTGGTTAAGAAGAATATAATTATGTCTTTATTACTAATAAATATTCAGTAAAGTCAACTCTGGTTAAGAAGAATATAATTATGTCTTTATACTAATAAATATTCAGTAAAGTCAACTCTGGTTAAGAAATATAATTATGTCTTTATTACTAATAAATATTCAGTAAAGTCAACTCTGGTTAAGAAGAATATAATTATGTCTTTATTACTAATAAATATTCAGTAAAGTCAACTCTGGTTAAGAAATATAATTATGTCTTTATTACTAATAAATATTCAATAAAGACAACTCTGGTTAAGAAGAATATAATTATGTCTTTATTACTAATAAATATTCAGTAAAGTCAACTCTGGTTAAGAAGAATATAATTATGTCTTTATTACTAATAAATATTCAGTAAAGTCAACTCTGGTTAAGAAATTAATATGTCTTTATTACTAATAAATATTCAGTAAAGTCAACTCTGGTTAAGAAGAATATAATTATGTCTTTATTACTAATAAATATTCAGTAAAGTCAACTCTGGTTAAGAAGAATATAATTATGTCTTTATTACTAATAAATATTCAATAAAGTCAACTCTGGTTAAGAAGAATATAATTATGTCTTTATTACTAATAAATATTCATAAAGTCAACCTGGTTAAGAAGAATATAATTATGTCTTTATTACTAATAAATATTCAATAAAGACAACTCTGTTTAAGAAGAATATAATTATGTCTTTATTACTAATAAATATTCAGTAAAGTCAACTCTGGTTAAGAAGAATATAATTATGTCTTTATTACTAATAAATATTCAGTAAAGTCAACTCTGGTTAAGAAAATATAATTTGTCTTTATTATAATAAATATTCAGTAAAGACAACTCTGGTTAAGAAGAATATAATTATGTCTTTATTACTAATAAATATTCAGTAAAGTCAACTCTGGTTAAGAATATAATGTCTTTATTACTAATAAATATTCAATAAAGTCAACTCTGGTTAAGAAGAATATAATTATGTCTTTATTACTAATAAATATTCAATAAAGTCAACTCTGGTTAAGAAGAATATAATTATGTCTTTATTACTAATAAATATTCAATAAAGTCAACTCTGGTTAAGAAGAATATAATTATGTCTTTATTACTAATAAATATTCAATAAAGTCAACTCTGGTTAAGAGAATATAATTATGTCTTTATTACTAATAAATATTCAATAAAGTCAACTCTGGTTAAGAAGATATAATTATGTCTTTATTACTAATAAATATTCAATAAAGTCAACTCTGGTTAAGAAGAATATAATTATGTCTTTATTACTAATATTCAGTAAAGACAACTCTGGTTAAGAAGAATATAATTATGTCTTTATTACTAATAAATATTCAGTAAAGCAACTCTGGTTAAGAAGTATATTATGTCTTTATTACTAAAATATTCAATAAAGTCAACTCGGGTTAAGAAGAATATAATATGTCTTTATTACTAATAAATATTCAATAAAGTCAACTCTGGTTAAGAAGAATATAATTATGTCTTTATTACTAATAAATATTCAATAAAGTCAACTCTGGTTAAGAAGAATATAATTATGTCTTTATTACTAATAAATATTCAATAAAGTCAACTCTGGTTAAGAAGAATATAATTATGTCTTTATTACTAATAAATATTCAATAAAGACAACTCTGGTTAAGAAGAATATAATTATGTCTTTATTACTAATAATTATCAGTAAAGACAACTCTGGTATAAGAAGATATAATTATGTCTTAGTACTAATAAATATTCAATGGAGTCAACTCTGGTTAAGAAGAATATATGGGTAGTCTTGGATATTATCATAATATTCATAAGGAATCATGGGTTGAGTATATGGAGTATGTATGTCTGGTATCATAAGTGGAGTAATATCGGAGTCAGAGTGGAGTCATGAGTGGAGTCATGATGGAGTCATGAGTGATCATGGTGGAGTCATGGTGGAGTCATGGTGGAGTCATGGGTGGAGTCTGGTGAGTCATGAGTGAGTCATGGTGGAGTCATGGTGGAGTCATGTTTGGAGTCAGATGGAGTCAATGGAGTCATGTGATCAGAGTGAGTCATGGTGGAGTCATGAGTGAGTCATGAGTGAGTCAGGATGGGTATGTCATGGTGAGTCATGAGTGGAGTCAAGTGAGTCAGGGTGGAGTCAGAGTGGAGTCAGGAGTGGAATCAGAATGGAGTCGATGGAGTCAGAAGTGAGTCAGGAGTGGATAGAGGTCAGGAGTCAGGGGTGGAGTCATGAGTGGAGTCATGGTGAGTCATGGAGTGAGTCATGAGTGGAGTCAGGTTGGAGTCATGGTGGAGTCATGTGGATTTCAAGTGGAGTCATGAGTGGAGTCAGGGTGGAGTCATGGGTGGAGTCAATGATAAATGTCAGGGTGGAGTCAGAGTGGAGTCATGAGTGAGTCATGAGTGAGTCAGGTGAGTCATGGGTGGAGTCAAGGGTGGAGTAATGGGTGGAGTCTTTGGGTGGAGTTACAGTGAAATCAGGAATGGAGTCAGGAGTGGATCAGGAGTGGATCTCTGGTGAAGTCAGGAGTGAGTCAGGTGGAGTAGAGTGAAGTCAGGAGTGAAGTCAGGATGGACAAGTCAGGGATTGATTAGTCAGGAGTGAGTTAAGTGAAGTCAGGAGTGAGTCAGGAGTGGAGTCAGGAGTGGAGTCTGAGTGAGTCAGGAGTGGAGTCAGGAGTGGAAGTCAGGGGTGAAGTCATGATGGATCAGGAGTGAGTCAGGAGTGGAAGTCATGAGTGGAGTCATGAGTGGAGTCATGAGGGAGTCATGAGTGGAGTCATGAGTGGAGTCATGGAGTGGAGTCATGAGTGGAGTTATGAGTGGAGTCATGAGTGGAGTTATGAGTGGAGTCATGAGTGGAGTCATGAGTGGAGTCATGAGTGGAGTCATGAGTGGAGTCATGAGTGGAGTCATGAGTGGAGTCATGAGTGGAGTCATGAGTGGAGTCAGAGTGGAGTTATGAGTGGAGTCAGGAGTGGAGTCAGGAGTGGAGTCATGAGTGGAGTCAGGGTGGAGTCATGAGTGGAGTCATGGGTGGAGTCATGAGTGGAGTCAGGAGTGGAGTTATCAGTGGAGTTTAGTGAGTCAGAGTGGAGTCATGAGTGGAGTTCAGTGAGTCATGAGTGGAGTTATGAGTGGAGTCATGAGTGGAGTCAGGAGTGGAGTATCAGTGGAGTTTCAGGAGTCATGAGGGGAAGTCATGAGTGGAGTTCAGGGGAAGTTATCAGTGAGTCATGAGTGACAGGTGATTATGGATTATCAGTGGAGTCATGAGTGGAGTCATGATGGAGTATGGTGAGTCATGGAGTCATGGGTGGAGTCATGGTGGATTATCGTGGAGTCAGGAGGGGAGTCAGGAGTGGAGTCAGGTGTGAGTCAGGAGTGGAGTCATGGAGTGAGTCAGGAGTGGAGAGTCAGAGTGGAGTCAGGAGTGGAGTCAGGAGTGGAGTCAGGGGTGAAGTCAGGAGTGGAGTCAGGAGTGGAGTCAGGAGTGGAGTCAGGAGTGGAGTCAGGAGTGGAGTCAGGAGTGAAGTCAGGGGTGAAGTCAGGAGTGGAGTCAGGAGTGGAGTCAGGAGTGAAGTCAGGAGTGGAGTCAGGAGTGGAGTCAGGAGTGGAGTCAGGAGTGGAGTCAGGAGTGGAGTCAGGAGTGGAGTCAGGAGTGGAGTCAGGAGTGGAGTCAGGAGTGGAGTCAGGGTGGAGTCAGGAGTGGAGTAAGGAGTGGAGTCAGGAGTGGAGTCAGGAGTGGAGTCAGGGTGGAGTCAGGAGTGGAGTCAGGAGTGGAGTCAGGAGTGGAGTCAGGAGTGGAGTCAGGAGTGGAGTCAGGGAGTGGAGTCAGGGTGGAGTCGGAGTCAGGAGTGGAGTCAGGAGTGGAGTCAGAGTGGAGTCAGGAGTGGAGTCATGAGTGGAGTCAGGAGTGGAGTCAGGAGTGGAGTCAGGAGTGGAGTCAGGAGTGGAGTCAGGAGTGGAGTCATGAGTGGAGTCAGGAGTGGAGTCAGGAGTGGAGTCAGGAGTGGAGTCATGGGTGGAGTCAGGAGGGGAGTCAGAGTGGAGTCAGATGGAGTCAGGTGGAGTCAGGAGTGGAGTCAGAGTGGAGTCAGGAGTGGAGTCAGGAGGTGGAGTCAGGAGTGGAGTCAGGAGTGGAGTCAGGAGTGGAGTCAGGAGTGGAGTCATGAGTGGAGTCAGGAGTGGAGTCAGGAGTGGAGTCATGAGTGGAGTCAGGAGTGGAGTCAGGAGTGGAGTCAGGAGTGGAGTCAGGGGTGGAGTCAGGAGTGGAGTCAGGGTGGAGTCAGGAGTGGAGTCAGGGTGGAGTCATGGAGGGGTGAGTCAGGAGTGGAGTCAGGAGTGGAGTCAGGAGTGGAGTCAGGAGTGGAGTCAGGAGTGGAGTCAGGAGTGGAGTCAGGAGTGGAGTCAGGAGTGGAGTCAGGAGTGGAGTCAGGATGGAGTGGGGGGGGGGAGTCAGGGTGGAGTCAGGAGTGGAGTCATGGGTGGAGTCAGGAGTGTCAGTGGAGTCAGGAAGTGGAGTCAGGAGTGGAGTCAGGGTGGAGTCAGAGTGGAGTCAGGGGTGGAGTCAGGAGTGGAGTCAGGAGTGGAGTCAGGAGTGGAGTCAGGAGTGGAGTCAGGAGTGGAGTCAGAGGTGGAGTCAGGAGTGGAGTCATGGTGGAGTCATGAGTGGAGTCATGAGTGGAGTCAGGAGTCATTGTGACAAGTAGAAGAGAGTGTGTGTGGGAGGTTGTACGATGATATATTTAGTAACTGGCTGACCTGTGTAGTGGGTGGTGTTGCTCTCTCTCTCCAGCACATGTAAGTATATCTGACTTTATACCCATATGATGCTTTGAATTGTTGGATTAGAAGGCCAGTAGGCCTTCTGCAGTGTTCCTCCATTCTTATTTGATGATATTTTTTAGCACGAATTATTAAAATCAGAGAAAGCACTAATTTTTAGCACGAAGGGTTATCTATCCAGAATAAATCGGGGTGGGAGGGTTTGTCACCCAGGATAACCCAGGGTAGGGAGGATATGTCACCCAGGATAACACAGGGTACGGAGGGTGTGCCACCCAGGATAACCCAGGGAAGGGAGCGTTTGCCACCCAGGATAACCCAGGGTAGGGAGGATATGTCACCCAGGATAACACAGGGTAGGGAGGGTGTGCCACCCAGGATAACCCGGGGTAGGGAAGATATGCCACCCAGGATAACCCGAGGCAGGGAGGGTGTGCCACCCAGGATATTCCAGGGTGCAGAGTGTTAGCCACCCAGAATAACCCAGGGTAGGGAGAGTTTGCCACCCAGGATAACCCGGGGTAGGGAGGATATGCCACCCAGGAAAAACCGGGGTAGAGAGAGGTTGCCACCCAGGATAACCCAGGGTATGGAGTGTTTGCCACCCAGGATAACCCGGGGTAGGGAGGATATGCCACCCAGGATAACCCAGGGTATGGAGTGTTTGCCACCCAGGATAACCCGGGGTAGGGAGGGTTTTACACCAAGGATAACACGGGGTAGGTAGGATATGCCATCCAGGATACCCCAGGGTAGGGAGGGTTTGCCACCCTGGACAACCCGGGGTAGGGAGGATATGCCACCCAGGATAACCCAGGGTAGGGAGGGGTTGCCACCCAGGATAACCCGGGATAAGGAAGTTTGCCACCCAGGATAACCCAGGGTAGGGAGGGTTTGCCACCCATCATAACCCGTGGTAGGGAGGATTTGCCACCCAGGATAACCCGGGGTAGGGAGGGTTTTCCACCCAGGATAACCCGGGATAAGGAAGTTTGCCACCCAGGATAACCCAGGGTAGGGAGGGTTTGCCACCCAAGATAACTCAGGGTAGGGAGTGTTTGCCACCCAGGATAACCCAAGGTAGGGACGGTTTGCACCCAGGATAACCCGGGGTAGGGAGTGTTTGCCACCCAGGATAACCCGGGGTAGGGAGGGTTTGCCACCCAGGATAATCCAGGGTAGGGAGGGTTTGCCACCCAGGATAACCCTGGGTAAGGAGGTTTGCCACCAGGATAACCCGGGGTAGGGAGGATTTGCCACCCAGGATAATCCAGGGTAGGGAGGGTTTGCCACCCTGGATAACCCGGGGTAGGGAGGATATGCCACCCAGGATAACCCAGGGTAGGGAGGGGTTACCACCCAGAATAACCCGGGGTAGGGAGGATTTGCCACCCAGGATAACCTGGGGTAGGGAGGGTTTGCCACCCAGGATAACCCTGGGTAAGGAGGTTTGCCACCAGGATAACCCGGGGTAGGGAGGATTTGCCACCCAGGATAATCCAGGGTAGGGAGGGGTTACCACCCAGAATAACCCGGGGTAGGGAGTGTTTGCCACTCAGCATAACCCGGGGTAGGGAGGATTTGCCACCCAGGATAACCCGGGGTAGTTAGGATTTGCCACCCAGGATAATCCAGGGTAGGGAGGATTTGCCACCCAGGATAACCCGGGGTAGGGAGGGTTTGCCACCCAGGATAACCCGGGGTAGGGAGGATATACCACCCAGGTTAACGCGGGGTAGAGAGGGTTAGCCACCCAGAATAATCTGGGGTAGGGAGTGTTTGCCAACCAAGATAACATGGGCAAGGGAGGGTTAGCCATCCAGGATGACCCGTGGTAGGAAGGATATGCCACCCAGGATAACCAAGGGTAGAGAGGGTTTGCCACCCAGGATAACCTGGGGAAGGGAGCGTTTTCCACACAGGATAACCCAGGGTATGGAGGGTTTGCAACGCAGGATAACCATGGATAGGGAGGGTTAGCCACCAAGAATAATCCGGGGTAGGGAGGGTTAGCCATCCAGGATAACCCGGGGTAGGGTGGATATGCCACCGAGGATGTGAAGGCTTACTCAGCCCTGTAACAACTTCAGTCAGTATTACTAAGGCTGGCTCCTCCTCAGGAAAATTAATGAATAAAATTATTATTATTATAATCAAAAAGAAGCGCTAAGCCACAAGGACTATACAGCGCTAATGAATAAAAAAAAAGAACAAAAACTGACAAATATAAACACTTTATTATCTAAGAAATATGAAATATAAAACACTTAAATATGAAATACTGATCCTACATGAAAGAAAATGAAAAATTAAAAATATAAAATGATATCTGAATTCAATGCTAAAAACTTGGGTGTCTGGTGAAAGGTGCACTGCGTTTTGTTGCAATAGAAGCCTTTGTGATGATTTTGGGGGGGGGGGGGGGGGTCGCAGTTTTTGGTGAAACCCCTGGCTCGTTCTAGGGGCCCGTAAGTAATCTTTCCCGATGCAGGAGATGGGTTTTCTTGACCTCTGTAATGATAGGGGTTATGTCCTGTTCTTATACAAGTGACGGGCAATAAATCCAATATGGGAGTTCCAGGCGTTAGCCCGTCTCCTTCATTTTTCTGTTTTTTGACGGGTGACCTCTCTGTCTTCCAGAGAAATGTTGGGAGCTGTGGTCGGTGATTTACTTTTTTGACCGGACCCCCACACCACCTTTCGGGGGGGGGGGGGAAAGAGGGGGGGGAAAGGGGATAGTGGGAGCTAGATGCCCCTCGTTAACAAGCAGCCGGAAAATTTCAACTATCCTTTAGGGGGGGGGGAAAAAAGGTGGGAATAGTGGGGTTGTCTTACCCTACCCTTTACAAGTAGCCGGCAATGAAACTATTGTTACTATATATTCCCTCGCTACTCCTATCTATTGAACTTTTCCCTCACACAGGATAACCCGGGGTAGGGGAGATATGCCACCCAGGATAACCCGGGGTAATGAGGGTGTGCCACCCAGGATAATTTGGGGTAGGGAGGTTTGCCACCCAGGAAAACCCAGGGTAGGGAGGGTTTGCCACCCAAGATAACCCGGGGTAGGGAGGGGTTGCCACCCAGGATAATTCGGGGTAGGGAGTGTTTGCCACCCAGGAAAACCCAGGGTAGGGAGTTTGCCACCCAGGATAACCCAAGGGGGGAAAGTTTTTACCCAGGATAACCCGGTAAGGGGGGTTTGCCACCCACGGTAACCCGGGGTAGGGGGGATATGCCACCCAGGATAACCCGGGGTAATGAGGGTGTGCCACCCAGGATAATTCGGGGTAGGGAGTGTTTGCCACCCAGGAAAACCCAGGGTAGGGAGGGTTTGCCACCCAGGATAACCCGGGGTAGGGAAAGTTTTGCCACCCAGGATAACCGGGTAGGGGGTTGCCACCCAGGATAACCCGGGGTAGGGAGGGTTTGCCACCCAGGATAACCCAGGGTAGGGAGGGTTTGCCACCCAGGATAACCCGGGGTAGGGAGGGTTAGCCACCCATGATAACCCGGGGTAGGGAGGGTTTGCCACCCAGGATAACCCGGGGTAGGGAGGGTGTGCCACCCAGGAAACCAGGGTAGGGAGGGTTTGCCACCCAGGATAACCCGGGTGGAGGGTTAGCACCATGAACGGGGTAGGGGGGTTAGCCACCCAGGATAACCCGGGGTAGGGAGGGTTAGCCACCCAGGATAACCCGGGGTAGGGAGGGTTAGCCACCCAGGATAACCCGGGGTAGGGAGGGTTTGCCACCCAGGATAACCCAGGGTAGGGAGGGTTTGCCACCCATGATAACCCGGGGTAGGGAGGGTTTGCCACCCAGGATAACCCGGGGTAGGTAAGGTTAGCCACCCAAGATGCCACCCACACCAGTCCACTAACACCCAGGAACTTGATGAAGATTAGACCCAGATGCTGCACATGTGTCTCATCTTCATCTTGTCGGTACTGTATACCGTTCATGAACACTCTTGAACCTACTTACTGCTAGGTGAACTGGGGCAACAAGTATAAGGTGACTAACACCGGGCACCTATTTACTGCTAGGTGAATAGGGGCAGCAGGTATATACTTACTGTTAGGTGAAGAGGGGAATCAAGTGTAACGTAACTAATACCCAGGTACCTTCTTATTGCTAGGTGAAGAAGGGCAGCAGGTGTAACGAAACATGTTGCCCGAAATGTTACGAATAACAAGAGTGTTTCTATATAGTAGTATGTTAGTGATGTCAGCTAGGCCTGCATAAGAACATGAGAAAGAAGGAATACTGCAACAGGCCTTGAGGCCTATGCAAGGCAGGTCTAATTCTCCCACCGGCTTAAGCCAATGCCTGATCTGCTAGCACAAGCTAGTCAGGTCCAACCTATTTTTAAAACTACACAACGTCTTAGCTTCTATGACGGTACTCGGGAGTTTGTTCCACTACAACTTTATTACCAAACCAGTGCTTTCCTATATCCTTCCTGAATTTGAATTTTTCCAGTTTAAAACCATTGCTGCGAGTCCTGTCTATGTTAAATATTTTTAGTAGGCTATTTACATCCTCTTTATTAATTGCTGTTTTCCATTTATACACCTCAATCATATCCCCCCTAATTCTACACCTTTCTAGAGAGTGCAGATTCAGGGCCTCAGTCTATCCTCATAGGGAAGATTTCTGATACATGGGATTAACTTTGTCATCCTCCTTCGCACGTTTTCCAGTGCATTTACATCCATTCTGTAATATGGTGACCAAAATTGCGCAGCACAATCTAAGTTAGGCCTAACCAAAGATATATAGAGTTGAAGAACAACCTGAGGACTTCTATTAGTTATAATTCTTGCTATGAAACCAAGGATTCTGTTAGCTTTATTGGCAACACTAATGCACTGTTGTCTTGGTTTAAGATTACTGCTAACCAGAACTCCTAAATCCTTTTTCGCAATCCGTAATATTAATTTAAGATCTACATTATTTAGTTTATATAAAGTATGGTTATTTTCCTGTCCAACATTTAGAACTTTGCATTTG